GGTCCTTTACGCATTATCATTGGCCCCTTTTTATGGCTGCGATAGTGGCATCATTTTTGTCTTTGCTTCTTGCCATTAAATGACCCTTAAAATCAACCACAACACCCCACAAAAAAGATCAAGGCAAAAGCATATTTAAGCCAAAAATTGCAAGGCGAAAAGTTGAAGGAAACTTGTAAATATTTTGATGAATTTTAAAGAAAGTTGCTAAAGAATGAAATGCTTAGATGGGAAGAAGCTATTGAACTGCATAGTGTAGGAAGTGTTTAATGGTTTTTGGGGAATTTTACTGATAGAGCGGAGGTCCAATGAGCGTGATGAATTTTTCTTTAAGAAACTCTCAATGCTACATCCATGATTTCCAGCAGAAACTTGAACCCTTGCAGCCGTGAATTACTCAAACACATTCTGCGCTGCTGCATTAAATATAAACAAATTGTTTACCAAGTTAATGCACTTTTTTCTCCACCACTTCAACATCAATTCTAAATATTGAAACAACAAATCAAAGCGCTAAACTGCAACCTGTTGCATCCTTTTTTTGTAAGCCCCTCTTCTGGTGTTTGTCAAGATTAAAGCTCGCGTGTTATTCGACTGCATATCATGGGCTTAAGTGAGTGGAAACTACAGGGGAATTCTTATGGGAAAATCATGCAAATGTGCCAATAACTGATGCAATTTATTTAACCAAACGCCACAGCACGCAACACGCAACCCGAGCCGCACGCCACGACTCCCTCCCGCCACAAATAAATGAAATGAAAATTGAATCCAAGCAAAATATAAGAGAAAACAAAAGAGAATGAAATGAAAGAAGTAGCAGATAAATAAAAAAAGAGAGCAGAGCAGAATGTAATATAAATGAAGAGCAGAAAAACAAGAGCTGAAGTGCAATGCAATTGTGGAAGAAACTAAGAAATTGTTTTCATTGGTCTCTGGCCTTCTCTGTTGGCTTTAGCTTTATGATAGCCACCTTAAACCCTTGCTTAAGATCTAGTGGAAAAGTTCTAGAGTCATGGAGGGGGAGGGGAACTGTGGGGAGCATGCAAAGTCATTAAACAAAAGGCAAACCGCCAAGGCCTTGGAAAGGAAGTCGGGTTGCGGCTTACGAGCCCCAAACTCCTTCTCTGGCGATATTCGCGACGTTCTCGTGTTTATCAGGCGTCAGCGAATTCCCTGTTCTGTTCTGTATTCCCTATCCTATCCTGTTCTTTGTATTATTACAGTTTTCCTCTTCTTTATTTGCCTCTTTTTTTTATTCTCATGGTATGACTCTGCTGGCGATGCCTTTTAGCATTTTGTGTAATTGCTTTGTGGGAAATAGTAAAAATATATAAAGATGTGTGTCAGTGTGTATATATGCTATATGGCGGTCTTTGTATGTAAGTGGACGAGCTACAGCTTGGGACTACACTGCAAGAAAATACTCTGCAGCTTTTTTAATAAAGATAATTTTAATAAACATAATTGAAATAAGAACTGACTATTCATATTTAAATATTGTATTTGTTAAGTTACATTAATAAGGTGTCGCTTAAGATTTCGTTTGTATTAATACAAAAAACAATTGAACGAGCTGCCGCTGCAACCTCAAAACCATTTGGTAGGTTGCTGCACAGTTATGGCAATCCCTTTGGCAACTGCCCAGCCTCCAAATGTTTCTCTCAGTGTCGTCTCTTTTGGTACATAATAGTTCTGTGGGCTTGGCATGACTCGGCAATGTCTTAGTGCTGACATAATTGATATGGCCACCTAGCACAGTTTTCCCTATCCCCTACCCCACCCCCAAGTATTCCATTTTGTTGTTTCATTTTTACTTTTTGCAGTTGGCGTGCGCCCTGCCAGTCCATGTACACGCAATCGAGAGCTGCAAGGAGTGGGGGGAACACACTCAATCTCTCTCTCTCTCTCCCTCTCTCTCTATGGGGGGAGGGGGAGACTCTGGGCGCACGCAAATGTAGCAACTGAATTGTGGCTTCTTCTGGCAAAAGAATTTTTTTGCTAACCATTGGCAGGGCGCTCCGTTAGCTTCAGTTTAAATTTAACTCGCGACGGGCCAAGTACAAGCGTCAAACAAATTTCGAGCGGGAAAGAATAAAGAAAAAAGAGAGACAACAACAACGGCACAATTTTTGGCTGCACAAATATTTGCTTGTTGTCTGATCATTAAAAGCGCATTTTGTCAGCTAATTACACGGAGAGGGGTGCGGGTGCAGAGGGAAGGTGTCCGTGTGCAAAGTGTTTTTGTGATGTATTCATTTCAAAGTGAAAATAATAAGAAATAATTAAGCTGGCACGACATTGCGACAAAGTCAATTCCCGTTCGATTCCATGTTGAGCCCAAGGGCGCTGGAAGGGGCGGCCAGCAGCGCTGTTGTAACGGCACAAAGATCGAAAGGGACTGCGACCACGGAAACGTTAACGGTAAACCATCATAGCGGCAGATCGTCATTACCATCGCGGTCGTCGTTGCCGTTCACGGCACTGCCATGAGTCGTCTGCGGCGTGAGAGTAGCCGACAAAGCGTCATCACCGTCGAGCTGATACAGTTCATAATTCAGTATCGAGCCCAGGAGACGCAGGATAAGAAGAAAAGGTGCGAGATCCAAACAGATCCAAACATAATACTTTAAAATCAAATTAAAAATCAAAGCAAAGTACCTTCCACTATGTTGTCTGTCTCTGAAGCGGAGCATGCCATGCTCAACGAATGGTACACGTATTAAATACAATTTAAAACTACAAAAAAAACAATTAAGCAAACACTCGGTAGAGCATATCAAAGCTTTAGACGCTGTGAACTGTACAAAGCCAAACGATGTAAATATGCAACAAAAAAGGAATACTGTCGGGAAATGCACAGAAATAAATTCACTTGTTAAATGTTTGTGTGTGTGGTGCAAGAATGATGTGTGGAAATGGCTGCCAGATGGGTTTAATTGTTCAAAAAAGTGATTGGTAAGGGAAATGCCAAAGGGAAGTGCGAAAATAAGTCAAAAATGAATACAAATTTCATGAATTTTGAAATGATTTTCGCTACTCAACAAAAACCTTTGCTGTAAGCGAAAACTCTCTGAAACTCTTTGCAGATACTTGGATACCAAATAGCAAAACAAACAACACCAAAATATTCCAAATATATTCAATTAAAAGCCTGCAAATGCTAAGCCAATTATTTGACCTCTAAACAGCCACAATTATTGGCTTTTAGAATTGGTTTTGCCACCTCACCTCATACGCCTTTTGTGGTTCACCTCCAAATTAATCGCTGTGGAAGTGCGAGTACTCAAATAACCTCAAGTCAATGCCTAAACCTGCTGAAAACCAAACAAGATTTCGCCTGAAACCAAACTCGCTGTAGCCCGCAGATCCTGTCAGTGCAAAAGTTTAATCTAATTAACCGTAATTGAATTTTGCGCTAATTTGCTCAAGTCGAAAGCGCTTCAGAGCTGTCTCCCCCACGCCTTCCACTCTCAGCCCTACTTGGTCCTGTTTTTCAGTTTCTATAGAGCGAAAGCTTAAGTGCTTTACAGCTCTGTGGATGCGAGCAAAAAAAAAAGTATATAAAACATGTAATGGCAGAGAGAAAGATGTTTTTCCAAGAACCATTTTATCTACTACGCAGGCAAATTCAATGGAAATAGAGGCGGTGTAGAAATGCTATAAGTATGGACTGGGAGGTGACCTGGAATGGTTTGAAATGATTGCAGAGATTATTGATGATCGTTGGAATATTTGTAGAAAATGTTCATTCTAACTACAACTCTGAATATTTCTACTTTAATATTAAAAAAACGACATGCCATAACTGCAAATGAATGTTAAAATAATCATAAAATAAGACACCACAATACATTCATTCCATAATGCCAAAGATTTACCCTTCCACTGGCACTTTTTATCCCCCACAACTGGCATACAAATTATCATAAAAAATATATTACAAACACATAAGTGCCTCAGCATACCCACACACTCCTTTACAGGGTATATTTTAATATTTTTTATATAAATTTTACACGGCTCTGAAACTTAATAGGAGGAGATGTAGAAAAGAAAAATCTGCTCATGGCGTTTCCATAGAAATGCATTGATTGGGCGTCCCAGAAGGACACTGCACCTAATGGACCAATTAGTGAAGGGAATTTTGTACATATGGCTGTGTGTACAGATACTTGTATGAGCGACTGTTGCCAATGCCAATTAGGATGGCTTGGGCAGGGACAAAATTCACAGAATAAAGTTGACGACTTTTTGCAGAAAGTCTCGACTCTCGTACCGTCTCCTGGCACGTTTTGTTCTCAATGTTGTTGCAATGTTCACGTATTTGTTTGTGGTTGTATGTATTTGGCATGCAATGAAGAAAATCCTACAAGTCACCATGCCCATAAAAACCACACACACACACACACAAACCCACACACGCCACATGCCACACAACCCACTCGTTGCATGCTGCACCTCTGCTGCCTGCCTTTGTCAGCTTTTTGCCAAGTAGCAAATTTACTCCTTACTCCTCCCACCACACCCACCACTTTCCTACCTCTACACTCACTTACTTGTTTAGCTGTTAACTAACTTTAGTCTGTTTCTAACTGTATCTGTATCTAAAACTGTTCCAAAAAAAATAAAACTTTATTTTCCGCTCACTAAAAATTCTTTTCTAACCCAAATAAAAAATTAAATTCTTCCTTTTTCCGTACCAATTGTTAAACCCACACAAAAAGAATATTATTAAACATTTAATTTGTTTATATTTTTGTTTTTATTTTTATTTTCTTTTATTAAAAACTTAGCTTACAATATTTTGAACTTATTGAAAGAAATTTGATAGAAATGTTCTTTTAATTTTTGTACATTTCTTAAATATTGTTTTCTGGTAATTTCGTTTAACAATTAATCTAGCTAAAAGTGTCTGTAAATGCAGCCAAACTAATAGATTTTTTTCTCTTCCCCACCTTTCCCCCGTAACCTAACCAATCCCCCCAAACCACCTGCAGGCGCCTGGCCGACGAGGATGATGAGTTATCGGAGGTGCAGCCGGATGCCGTGCCACCGGAGGTGCGCGAATGGTTGGCCTCCACATTCACGCGCCAGATGGCCACCAGCCGCCGCAAGAGCGACGAGAAGCCCAAGTTCCGCTCGGTGGCACATGCCATACGTGCGGGCATCTTTGTGGATCGCATTTATAGACGCGTCTCCAGCTCGGCATTGATGCAATTTCCACCCGATGTGGTCAAGCTGCTTAAGGTGAGTTGGTGGTTAATTAAAAATTCAAAATTATGCAATGAGAGCAAGGGTACAGCATACACTGAATGGGCAATAAGTTGAATTATTTTATACAATTTCCTTAAAGTGTCCCAACAGGGAGCTTCTTTTGTACTAAATTCGCGCTGGCAACCGGCGTCATAGCTGGCATTATAAAACTTAAAAAATATTCCACTAGCGGAGATTTAATTATTTGATGTTTTATATTTTTAGAGCATCTTTCTTATGAGAGATAAAAATAACTGAAAAGCTGACCGTAAAAATGTCAAAAATGAGGGAAAACGTGAATTTTTGTTTATTTTAGTAGTTGTTCTCATCAAAATGAATGAAATGATGTGTAAATAATTGAAAATAGTCTATAATATAGTGAAAAGAGCAGTTGGACATCTGTTTTTATTAGCCGAAATGCCCATTAATATCTCAAAATATATATTAAAATATTTGCTGTACCTTTTCCGCAGAACCTGGATGACTGGACATTCGATGTGTTTGCTCTGACGGAGGCAGCCAGCGGGCAGGTTGTTAAATATGTGGCCTACGATCTGTTGAACCGCTACGGAGTGATACACAAATTCAAGATTGCACCTGGGGTGCTGGAGGCATTTCTGCATCGCGTGGAGGAGGGTTATTGTCGCTATCGCAATCCTTATCACAACAATTTGCATGCGGTGGATGTGATGCAGACGATGCATTATTGTTTGTGCAACACGGGATTGATGAACTGGCTGACGGACTTGGAGATATTTGCCTCGCTGCTGGCGGCGCTGCTCCACGACTACGAGCACACGGGCACCACCAACAATTTTCACGTAATGTCCGGCTCGGAGACGGCGCTGATGTACAACGATCGAGCGGTGCTGGAGAATCATCATGTGAGCGCCAGCTTCCGGCTGCTGCGCGAGGATGAGTATAATATTTTGTCGCATTTGTCGCGGGAGGAGTACCGGGAGATGCGCACTCTGGTGATTGACATGGTGCTGGGCACGGACATGACCAATCACTTTCAGCAGATGAAAACGATGCGGAATCTGTTGACGCTGCAGGAGGCAACCATTGACAAGTCGAAGGTGTTGTCGCTGGTGCTGCACTGCTCTGACATTTCCCACCCGGCCAAACAGTGGGGCGTCCATCAGCGCTGGACCATGCTGCTCCTCGAGGAGTTCTTCCGCCAGGGTGACCTCGAGAAGGAGCTGGGCCTGCCCTTCAGTCCGCTCTGCGATCGCAATAACACACTCGTCGCCGAGTCACAGATTTGCTTCATTGACTTTATCGTGGAGCCCAGCATGTGCGTCATGTCCGATATGCTGGAGTACATTCTGGCACCCATTGCGCCCGTGCTCAAGACGAAGCCTTTACCTTTGCTGGAGCAAGATGACAGCTGCCGTGTGGGTCCACGTCCCTCCGATCGTCGCACCGATGAAAAGTCCTCCGAATGCAGTGCCCCGCCCATGGCACGCAAGAGCCTCACCGGCAGCACTGCATCCAAATTTGTAATACCCAAGCCATGGCTTTTATGTCTCGCCGAAAACAAAAAGATCTGGAAGGAGCAGGCCGTCAAAGGTGAGTCTCGGTCCCTGTGCCCCTGCCCCTGCCGCTGCCTAATGCTTTATTAATTATCATATTAATTGGCTGTGCTCCTGCCCCCCGTCCACTCGCTGTAGTCTTTGCTAATTGAGTTTGAATGCCCTTTGCTTTGATCTCCCGGCCAGCCATTTGTTATTCATGCTAAAACCTTCTTACGCAGAGCTCTTGGATCGGCGCCAAAAGAGCGGCGGTCATCAAGCCTAGCAACAAACTGAAACAGAAACAGAAACAGCCTCAAGCTAAGAACAAGAAATTGTATTTAAAACCCAACTAAAGTGTGCAAGAAATAAGGCAAAATATAGCAGAAGAAAAACAACTGCATAGAAACCATTTTTGCAAGCAAAAAGCAGGCGCAACAAATTCTCAAATTAAGATTTCAAATAAATATTATATTTAATACACAAACTAAATGCGGCAACGTTTAAGTTAAGAGATTTTGCCAGCAAAATGTGCAAAATATTTAGCTAGCGGCAGAGTGTGCCCAGAGGTGTAAACTGCATTGCTTTGCTTTGTTTACTTTTGTGAAAAGTGAATGAAAATTCCCGTTTAACATTTATTTTATTTACCTGCAGATGCCGAGAGCCGCGCTTTGGCCACCGCTGCCGAGGAAGCGGCTGCAAACGCCGCAGAAGATGCGGACAAGCCCGCAGCTGAAGCGGAAGCAACAGAGGCCACAGCGGCAGAGACAGAGGCCACAACGGCGGATGCTGCAGCAGCCACCTAAACATAATAAACAAAAAATACAACAAAAACAAATAAATAAAAGAAAAAATCATAAAAATTAGCAAGCACACAACAGAAAGGAACAGAAAATAAAAAAAAAAACAAAAACACAATTCCAAAAGAACAAAATAAATAAAAATAATGTTAAATGCGCTTAGAAGCAAACCTAGAAAATATGATTAATAAACGCTTCAGATGCGGCTCTCTATGTGAATGAATGTTGGTTAGAAATTAGAATTGCATCTTAGGATCTACCTGTTAGAACCCAAAACAACATAAATACTTAATAAAATAAATAGACATATAAAGATAAAGATAAAGATAAATATATATTAAATGTATAGTAAACCCTACAAATATATGTTGTTGCAAGCATTAAGAAAGTTATTAGGGACAGGCACAAAGCATTATAATACGAATAAAAAGTTCCAACTTCGCGTAGAAAGTATGTATATAGGAAGAGTGAAGATTTCAAGTGAAATTTGGATGCTGAAATTTTGTGGGGTTCGTTTCGAGAATTTATAGTTAGAATTTTACTCCAAACTTCTGTTTAGTGACATGTGGAATTTATTATATATTGATTTTCTATAAGTTTTGATGTATAAATATATGTTTTGATTTAAATTAAAGTACATTTATTTTTGTAACCATTACCATGGAATATTTTGTCTTTTTTTCTCGTTTTTTTGTGTATTTTTTGCATTGAAAATTTGCTCAATTTGAAGTGTGGTTTTTTTGCGAATGAATGGAACAAAAACTAACCGAAAAAATACCTGAGTAGCTAGCTATACGACTATTTGTATATATACTTTGTAGCCCCTTAACCCACTAACAGACTTTACTCCAAAGCAAAAAAGGATTTCTTACCATTTTCCAACTCTACAAATGCACATAGCTACCTAAATATATATCTACCATATATACATATGAATAAGTATATAATAGACACAATTTCTACAAACAAGAAAACATATTTATTTTTATACAAGAGCGAGGAAGAGAGACAAAGTAAGTCAGAGTGAGAGAGAGAGGTGAGATGGCGAGTGCGAGAGAAGGATTTGAATCGCAACAACAGATTTTGAGTTTCTTTCGTTTGGGTATTGTCTTTTCTTTAAACCAACTTGAAATGTTTTCAAACGTTTTTCAAAATGTCTGATAGCGGGACCATTCTTTTAAGATTTACCACTGTTCTTTACAAACAAAAGGAAGTAGCAGGCAGAAATGGGTTCCAAAACTGAGAAGAAAAACCTTGAAACCGCGCAGAGGGCTAAGTGTCAAAGAGCAGTGGTAAATGTGCTTAGCAGTAAGGTACCAAATTATCAGCTGAAATTGGGATCATAGCTTTATTAAGGTAGTCAATAAATGTACGAACACGTGGCAGGCCCATACATATGCTGCAGGATGTGTATAAAGAAGGAGTTCCAGGTGCATGCCGTGGCTGTCTACACACAACACAAACAGAGCAACATAATCTACTCTAACTAACCTTTAACAAAAACAAGTAATAATATCTATAATAAATACATAAATAAAGTAAAAATAATTGTATATCAAACTTGAACGCTCAAAGCGATACGTATACACAAATATTTATAGAAAACTCTCTCATAAAACTGTACAAAATAAATAAATATAAATTAGAGTTAGTTGTAGCCGAAAATGTTGTGCAACCTTCAAGCGAGGAACATGTTGTGCAAACTTCAAAGCAAGGAACATGTTGTGCAAACTTCAAAGCGGAAAAAATGTTGTTATTAATCTCAATGTTGAACTAAAAACCAACTAACAGTTACAAACGTTAACCAACTATTCGAACATACATACATACATATGGTACATACATATATGAGATTTATGATTCAATGTTATTAGCAAAATGTAGCCTTAGTGGTATGTACGTACGTACGTTATACATATGTATATGTAATTCCAGCCAACACACTTCTCTGACAAATGAATCCTAGCCATTATTTTGACCCTTAGCTGGTGCAAGAATATAAAATACATAAAAGCATACATATACATACATATATGAAACTATAAAAGTTGAAAGCAATCATTACATTTAAATATAATATATAAATACGAACAATATACGGGCAGGCAACGGCTTGTACTTAGTTTTGCGTTTTCAATATTTTTGTTCTGTTAAGAGCAGCATTTGCTGTTAAGCGCAACATCTGTTATGAGTAACAGGGAATTTGTTATGACCTGTACGAACTGTTAGCAAGAAGGAAGAAATTGTTCTTGCCCCGACCAAATATTTTAAAGGATTTTTATGTTTGAATTTGTGTTTTATACATACTAAAATATGTGTTAATAAATATATTGTTCTTTCATTTTGTTCAATTAATTGGGAAAGTTTTTTTTTGTTGCAAACCGATGCCTGCCTAATAGACATAAATACAAATATGTAACAAGAATAAATTGTGTGTAAATAACAAAAAAAAAAAGGGGCACAGGATGCAATATTTGATTTAGAATAATTAGCCAAGCACAGTAACTAAAATCAAAAACCGAAGAGCCACAAGAACCAACTAGTCCCATCCTTAGCTATCCTATCCTAACAGCCCACAAAATACTATACATAAACTGTAAATAACTTTGTTTCATCTTTTTCATTTAATAAGCTAACTAATGTTTACTCTGAATAGTTTTCGCAAAATCAAAAGAAACAAAAAGCCAGAAGATAAAGCCTGCTAATTAAATCTTTTTAATTTTCCTACTATGTTAAACTCAAACATTAAATAATGCATATATTCAAATGTATTGTTATTGTGGGGCCTGGTGACCCATTTGAGATGAAATGAATATGGCTGAGGTGTATGCTTATTACGAAATACTTTCAAGTAAATTATAATAACACCATATGACTTTTAATATACTAATAAAAATTCTTAATAAACCTAATCAATCTTAATTTTTAGTTAAAGATTCAGTTCAGTTCTCCAGAAATTTAATAAATACTACAATTTTAAGGGTAAATAATAGGTATCAAAACTTCAATCAACTTGCGACTGTACATTTCCCCTCTATATCGTGGTGGGATATCCTCTCGCAACATGGGTATTTCCAACGCAACAATATACTTACATTCCTGTAAAAGAAGTCATAAGTCCTGGTTGAGAATTGATTGAAAAATCGCATTAAATTATAGTTTCACTGCTAAGAATCCTAAATAGCTGGTAATTTTAATCAGAATATCAAGTTCGAGGAAAATTATTAAGATTTGACGGTATATTTACGGTCTGTATCGAAAATGAGAAAGTATTTCTGGTATATCTTTGAGGGTCGTGCGGTATGTCTTAGCGATAACCCCGCGGTCACACTGGTCCCATCCCTATGTTAAAAAACGCAAGAAAAACAATTAAAAAATGTGTGAAAAAAGTGTTTAACTTAAATATTTAAGTGTCAATAAAGTAAGCATTCAAAAGGATATCCCGATCGTTTCGCTGGCTGCGCCACCAAAGCTGTGCGGATGAGTTCTGGGTGATTTTACGACCGGGCAGAGCCGCCCACAGACTGCCAGCGAGCGGCGACGACGACGAAGCTAGTGATTCCATTCATTCAATTTTGGGTACCGTGATTAATGTGGGAGCCCACCGTTTGACCGTGTGACAAAGTAATCTAAATCTGGGCCATCAGCTTTTTGGTGACAGTCATACATCAGACGGCCAAACACACACACCAAACAGTCACCAGCCACCCAGCCCCGCCCCAAGAAAAACCAAAAAGCTGAGCAAAAAAAAAAACCAACCAAGACCCCGCCACGCCACGCCAAATTAGGCAACCTGCAACCCACCTACGGACGGGAGTCGCGACCGGCCTGCTGTTTGTCGTGCTCGGGGTTAATTAATTTCATTTACTTTTTTGCACAATAATCCGGCTGGCCTTTAAGTTGCGAGCGATATTGAGGCGTTGGGCAAACACAGAATCGAATCTTATCTACGAATAAGACAAAATAATAATGAGTGTAGTAGGAGTCAGATAAGAGAGAGCAGAATATGAATCCCTTTTTGTTATTTCTAATGTGATATCTTTCAATTGCAGTGCAAATGAGGTACGGGAGGAGCAGCAGCAGCAGCAGCGTTCAGTAAGCAGCGGCAGGGGGACTATTGTGGAACGATACGAACGCCAGGCGCCATGCTGATAGACAACACAGCGGTTCACACAAGACGACCAAGTGCCAAAAACGAGTTACGAGCGTGAACAGCAGAGCAGCGACATCAGCCAAAGCCACAGCCAGGAAAGGGAACTGGGAAACAGTGACGTGAAAATTGCATTTAAACTGCCAATCCACTCCAAAGCACTCCAACTCATCAATCAAGCCATCTGTCAATCATCATGGGCAACAAGAACTCGTGCTGTGCGTACTCCAGTCCGCAGTCGGATCGCAAGTCGAAGGACATGCCGCCAGTGTTTGAGGAGCGACATCAGATGAATCATCCGCCACACACCTCACAGCATCAGCTGGATGGACACCTTGTCTCGACGGCGGCTGTGCACCATCATCATCATCACCATAATCGCCATCAGCAGGACGGAGGCGATAGCTTTGAGAATCAACAGAATCTGCAGCACATCTCGGAGCGTGAGCCAGTGGAGGGCGACGAGGATCCATCGGTGGATCCAACGGCAGCCACCATGTTCCTCGAACGCTCGAAGGTGGAGAATGGCGGCATGACGCGTAAACGCTCACAGCAGCAGATTGCCCAGCAGGCGGGCAGCATTGGCGGCGGCGGCAGCACACCCGGCGGCAACAGCTGCGGCGGCGGTGGTGGCGTTGGCGGTGGCATGAAGAAGAGCTCCTCCTGCTCCACCATCTATCTGGATGACAGCACTGTGTCGCAGCCAAATCTCAAGAACACAGTCAAGTGTGTCTCGCTGGCGATTTACTATCACATCAAGAACCGTCAGTCGGATCGGCGTCTGGACATATTCGATGAGAAGATGCATCCGCTGACGCATGACCCGGTGCCGGAGAACTATGACACCCACAATCCGGAGCATCGACAGATCTACAAGTTTGTGCGAACGCTCTTCAATGCCGCCCAACTGACGGCCGAGTGTGCAATCATCACGCTAGTCTACCTAGAGCGACTTCTCACCTACGCGGAAATGGATGTGGGCCCCTCCAATTGGAAGCGCATGGTGTTGGGTGGGTAGATCCCCTGAAGCACCTCCATTCGAAGTGTGTTTAATCTCTGCTTTGCTCTCTCCCATGTGCCAGGTGCCATTTTGCTTGCGTCCAAAGTGTGGGATGATCAGGCCGTCTGGAATGTGGACTACTGCCAGATACTCAAAGACATTACAGTGGAGGACATGAACGAGCTGGAGCGACAGTTTCTCGAGCTGCTGCAGTTCAACATCAATGTGCCCTCTTCGGTGTATGCCAAATACTATTTCGATTTGCGGACACTGGCCGAGGCGAATGAGCTCAATTTCCCCACAGAGCCGCTGTCCAAGGAGCGTGCCCAGAAGCTGGAGGCCATGTCGCGCGTCATGCAGGACAAAGTCACAGCCGAGGCGCTCAAGAATGGCATCAAGAAATGGTCCTCCATGGACAACATCAGTCAGGGCGGTCCGCGTCGCAGCGTGGCCATATTATCGTGATTTATATTAGCTTACTAAAAACAAAACTATAAAACAAACAAGAAAATAAGAAGAAACCAGATCTGTTTTCTGTAGCAGTCCTCCGTAGTGTGTCGAGTCCGATTAAGCAGGAATTTCGTGTTTATTTTGTACTTTCATTTCGTTACGAAATAGCACCCCAAGCAAATGATAAAAGATATTTATAAACAAAAACGTTTTAGCCACACACAAGTCTCGAATTAAGGACCACTTTTTACATTATACATACATTCAGAGCCAGTGTATATTCTTGTGAAAAACTACCGATTGCAGTCAAGGATTTGGATGATTTTAACAGAATTAATATTAATAATTATATATTATATTTAAATCCCCTAATCTATAGGGGAAACTACAGCAAAACAAAAACTTTGAGAAGAGCGCGTAACCAATTGCCAAAACGAAAAACAGTAGGAAGAAAGAACCACAAAAAGTAGAGAAATTCTGTGTAAAAAACAAAAGAAAAGCTTAAATATTTTAATTCAAACAGGGCTAGCCTGAGAGACAAATTTGAGAGAGAATATTTTTTTGCCTGTGTACATTTTTTACGAATTTAATTTGTTTTTTTTTTTTACCCTCCGCATTTTGTGTGTGTGATTTTTATAGTTTTCCATTTAGATTTATGCGATGCGAGAGATATAGCGATATAGCTTCCCCCCAATCAGGCTTAAGGCACAAATTGATATGTTTTTTAATGGTTTTATAACATTAGAAAAACAACAACACAGCACACAGCGCAATATTTATCCAAAAAAGATTTGTGAGTAAATTTATGTACTAGACTAGACATTTAAGGATACGAATTATATGTTTATTTTACGGTAAAGCTAAATAAAAAGCAATCAAAGAATAACAAAGTTTTAAATTTAAATCAGTCCATATATCGGATAACGATGGATATCCATGCAATCGTTGCGAGTACCATCTCTGATTCTAGTTTGAAACGGCACTGCCAACCTTTTGGAAATTGGTAACTGTTGCCCTTACTTTTAGGGTGACCGTTCAATGTATTTTGAACGCGTTTCTAATATATTATTTATATTAAATTGTATATTAAAAACAGAAAAGGTTGAAAGTATGTCATTCCAAGATTAAGTCAATATTAATGTTGCAAAAGCAGCTTTGAAAACGAAATTTTAATGTAAACTATTGAAAAAAGGGTATACAAAGGACATACTGCAGGTAGTCCCGCTGGACAATCAACAAGTTGCCAAATTACGTAATATTCCATTCCCACTCACGTATCATTTTATGTTTTAGTTTAGTTTGATTGCTATTTTATAAACAATCAAATAAACCTAAGTAATCAAAACTAGAATCTTATGTAGAATTGATTGAAATATCATGTAAAATTATAGTTTTAGAGCTGAAAATCCTAACTACCTAGTAATAATAAATAGAACAACAAAATTGTAGAATATGATTTAAGAATACGAATTTTTACTCGATAGTTCCGCTAAATTCGCTGTAGCGATTAAATCCCAAAAAAGCTATATCGATATATCCGCGGTCACACTGAAATTGCGTTTCCTGACCGTTTAGACACAGGAGTGGATTTCCCTGACCGTTTAGACACAGGAGAGAATTTCCCTGGGAGAACTTCCCGTAGGATTAAAATTTACCCGGCGCCACTGGAATTTTTGTGATGTATTTACCCGTTGTCGACACCTTAGTTTGTGGTAGAAATTTCGCACCATGAAAGCTCTTTTGCTTTGTTAAGGGAGTTTTGAAAGCTCTTTTCCTTTGCGAAGGGAGTTTGAACAGCTAATGAGAACCACTAAATATAAAATAAAATATATTCATATTGGGCTATAGACAATGTATTAAGAATTAAGAATTATGATACAGGAGAGGAAGGAAAGAGTGGCACTAACATAATTCAAAACATCAAAGGAAAATTCCTACAGAGCAGTTCGAACACACAGAAAACATGATGTTGGTAACATGTCCATTAAGATTTTACAGCTTAATGTACAATCACTGAAAAACAACACAAATTACATAGAATACACCCTGAACTCTCTTGGATATGGCATAGCCATCTTCTCAGAAGGTTTCTCCCGCGACACGTCATACAGAGATGATGGCTACGGAGGTGTAGCCATTGCTGTTCAGTAAGGCATCAGCTTAAAAGGGAAGCATTTAGTTCAAAGCACGATGTTATTATCGGGAAAAGAGATCCAATAAAAATATCACCATTGTCTCTGACTACTTCGAACCCTACCTGAAGACTAACACCCTTCAAAATGCTATTCAAATTCGTTGCAATTGTAGTAGTAGACATCGATAATGCATATAACTGCGTTGGTCTTCAAACTCTACAAGTGACAATGGATTATGAACACATTCCCACGCAATATACTGACTGGACTGTCAATTTCTTTTCGTCTAGATTCCTAAAACCTGTCTCTCACCTCTACTTTTGTATCTGTACACCAAAAGACTGCATCAAATCAATGATTCACATACGTCCATTATTCAATTTGCTGATGACTTTGCCATCATCTCAACATCTCGACATCAGACAGAGCTTTTGCTGTTACTACCATCAAACCCAAGGACTCATCCAACATCTTCAAATCCTTGATCGGATCTCAGCAGGAACAAACCATGTCAACCAAAACCTGTCAAACCATGGCACTGGGCTCTCGACTGGAGTGCAAAAAACATAACGTTTAGTTACACAAAATCAAAGCCAGAAACACCAAAATTTGCGAAGATTGCAACGTTCTCGACAATGCGGAACATGAAATCTTCTCCTGCCAACGACATGCTAACGGAAGTCACCTTGAGGAGCAACCTTCTGTTGTTCCTACTTTCTGAGGCAACATTCTGTTGCAATACACACCTACACATACACATCAATCCATTTCACTACTATATATTTTGTTAAAGTCTTACACACCACCATACTTTAAACTAAGCATCATATTGTTTAAATTATAACCATGCATGGTCTCACTAACAACCATCGATAGTCAGGAAAATATCGACAGCCCCATTATCGAACTGAAGTGCCTGGTCAATGCGGACTCATCGTCGTGCGACCATCCAATTTCGCGGCAGCGATAAAATACCAAAAAAAAAAAGAATAAAATAGAACCGGATTTATTAATAAAATAAACCTAACTACTTTGCGGGCTGTGTAATAGTGTAATAAGTGTTTTTGGTGTTCGAGTTAAACGGAAGCAAAGTAAACCGAGTCAGCAATTAAGCAACTTACTTTGTGGCAAGCGTCTGCGTGCGTCGTGGAACGGGGAAAGGTGACGAGGGACGCTGAAACAAAAAAAGGAGTGGTAGCTTGGATTTAAATTGAAGTCAAACCGCCGGGTATGTACAATCTCTCAAATGGAGTGGGGGGCAGTCATAATTCATATTGGACTTCGTATATTTCTGCCACAATTTGTGTTTAATAATTTTGCCGCCTTTTTATGTCGCTGGTGTCCATAAAAGCAAGGGCGGGGGGGCGGTAGCCAGCGAGTCGGTTAATAAGAACAACGCAATCGCATACACACATACACATGGACGCATTGTATCTGTATCTCTCGTTCACCATCTCTCTCTCTCTGTCTCTCTCGTTGCCTCCACACCTCTTAACGGAGGTGCTAACAGTGGAATCAAAATAGCTAGAATTCAATATGTAAAAATTGTTTATGCCTATTATGCATTTAATTGACCTATAAACATTACTAACAAAAAGTCAATCAAAGGCTAAAAACTGGAAAGATCATTTTAAAACCAAAAACCTCTAGATACCCTTTTGTTTTGGTAATTTTTTGGCTGTGAAAGCTGCATCTTGCCAGAAACATGATCAAGAACGAGGTGTCATACAATATTTAATTATTTATTTGGTCATATTTCTTCTCACGCAAATTTCCAAAATAATGAACTGTTTAGAAAAAACAAAACATTTGGCTGTTTTAAAATTCGCGTAAACATTTTTCCACCATGGAGAGGTATGGACAACATGCAGAAACGGCCCAGCAACATTGTCAAGCTCCCATTAACCCCACCTCACGGTGTTTGTTTACCAACAACGGTTACTACCGGTCGGCCTGCAACAAACTGTCAAAAGACGTTCAATTCCATTCCCACCCACTTTACTTTTAATGCTACCTGTTTTTATTTATTTCCTTACTCTACAATCAATCCAATACAAATAAGTCATGATCAACCAGCCAATCTTGTGGACAATTTATTGATGAATTAGATAGAATTACAGTTTTAGCGCTGTGTTTTCTAACTAGATAGTAATCTTAAATATAATAGCAAAATCGAGGAAAATGTTTTAAGATTAACTGTATCTTTGCGGTACATTTTGAAAATGAGAAGGTATATTTCGGTATATTTCTGAGGGTCAGGCGGTATATTTGATCGATACATCCGCGGTCACACTCGGATTTGAAAGAACGGCCCGGCCCGCCCGAAAGTATCTCAAAACCGCCGAAACCACCGCCACCGTCTCTCACCCGCGCGCGGCGTTTTCAATTCTGATTTTTCTACACACACTCACCCATACATACAGACAGATGTATGTGGATGTGTACGTGAGAGTGCCTGGCAGCCACCACCAACACCATTGCAACCAAGTAATTTTCGTTATACTGGCGTCATAAGAACATACTTAAGAGACTATACGTGTTTATATGTATGTAAAAACTGCAACTAAATTTCCGATTGTCGGGCGGAGGCGGAGGTGCCGTAGCAATTGTGTTTACTTGTGAAATTCGCATGCCGAAGAAAAGAATACCAAAAATTATTAATCAAATGACTTTGCGGTCGACTTTACAATGTGACTGTGTGTGTGTGTGAGAGTGTTTGCGCTAGTGTGAGATATGTGAGCGCGTCTAATCTGAGTTGGTGTGTGTGTGTGTGCACATACATCCACAGAGTTCCCATTAACGTCATCATCGTGTCATTCTTGTTTGCCTGTGGCGGGCAGGGAGAGACGCAGGGTTGCATTTTTCAGAAATTTATTAATATTACTAGAAAGAAATGAGGAAAAAAGTGCAATGCAGAGAGTGAGGAGAGCAGCAGCTAGTTCTGCTCCGGTGTAAACATAATTTTTAATTCCAGATTTCTGCCCCTTTTTTCAGCTGCCATATGGTTGGAGCGGCGGATGGGACGCTCCTATTAGAACAGTAATTTTGTCGAATTGGACTTTCCACTTCTAGTCATCTTTCCCTGTTTCTCTCTCTGATTTTTCTTATTTGTATTTTTTTAAACAATTATGAAATGCACACTAATTGGCTGTAATGAAAATGTGCCTC